TCAGCCTAGCTCACAGCAACCTCAAACTCCTGGGCTCAAGCGATCCTCCTGCCTCAGCCTCCCGAGTAGCTGGGACTACAGGCATGCACCACCATGCCTGGCTAATTTTTTCTCTATATATTAGTTGGCCAATTAATTTCTTTCTATTTATAGTACAGACGGGGTCTCGCTCTTGCTCAGGCTGGTTTTGAACTCCTGACCTCGAGCAATCCGCCCGCCTCAGCCTCCCAGAGTGCTGGGATTACAGGCGTGAGCCACCGCGCCAAGCCGGTAAATATCTCTTGATTGACTGAAAGCCTGTTCACTTTGAGCCAAGAGAAGGAAACCCAAGCTCAACATCTGTCCATTCCCCAAATAGGAAGCCTCATAAAATTCATGGGTGGACACTGAATGCAGGACTTGGCGATGGCCTGCTTCAACCCCTTCCCTTAATCTGGGAAAATCAAGCTAGACTGAAGCCAGGTTTCTTGGCTCTCAGCCCAGTGCTCCTTCCAAGGCACCACACTGCCACCCTGAAGGAACTCATAATTTAAGTGAGCCTATTAAGCAGTGAGACATAATCTCAGGCACGGGTGTTTGTTACAAAGGTGTTGGGTGGATATGAGTTCTTACAAGTTTCTCCTTTCCTTTAATTGGTAGCTGTGGGCCAAGCCACATTTACTTAGAAAGGCACATTTTTGTTAGCCTGGACTGACTAAGATGGCAGGAAACAGACATCTGAGGAGCACTGTCAGGACCTCTCCCAGACAACTTGTCCTGAAACAGTTACTAAAAGGTGCAGCTGCAGTTCCTCATGGCACTCCTGCTTCCTTTTGTAAAGTCTGCATTCCTGGCATTAATAGCCAGCTGAGTAAGTAATGAGGAGAGGCCAGGCAGGGGTGGGGAACCTTTATTAAAAGGATTTGTTCTATAAAAGTTGGATTCAGTCAAAAGGTGGCACTCAAGGATTCAGAAAGCCACATGTGGCTCCAAGGTGCAGCGTCCCCACCCCTGGAGGAAGCTCTCACTCAACAGGCAGCAGTTTCTCCTGGGGAGTCCTGGAGGCTCCTTGTTCCTGTCAACTACTACAACGTGTCCGTAAATTTCCTTTGACAGGAGACAGGGTGTCTAAGGAGCAGACGGTAACAAAAACCAAAACTGCAAACGCATTCCTGCCAGAACCCAGCTCATTCTCCATGCACGGCACTAAAGAAGGATGGAAACTGCTTTCTACAACCTATACCCCAGCCCCTACCCACTGGGGCCTCCTGGGTGGTGAGATCAGAAGCTGCAGGACAGGAAGTGGGTGCTAAGGGTTGCTCCAAGCAGGTAAGGTTACAGAGCTATAGAATGGTAGACGCACCACGCCAACAAAAATGGTGTTTATTTGTCAGCTTGAGTGTTTTTTCTTTTCTTTCCTTTCCTTTCCTTTCCTTTCCTTTCCTTTCCTTTCCTTTCCTTTTCTTTTCTTTTCTTTTCTTTTCTTTTCTTTTTAATGGTAGACCCAGAACAAGTTAATTTGGGGGGGTTCAGTGCAAAATGAAAAAAATGTCCCTGTCCAAACTTTATTGAGAATTTTAAGACTGTGACAGCAGAGCTCAGGGGCCTTCTTAGTGGAAGACTGTGCAAGTTGCATGAGCCCTGGGTAGACTCTGCCTTCCATAACATTCTCTTTTTATACCAGGTAGAAAGAGTGGTTTAGTTTTTATGTACAATAAGTCCTCACTTAATGTCATTGACAAGTTCTTGGAAACTGACTTCAGGTGAAATGACAGTATAACAAAACCAATTTTACTACGGGCCAGTGGATATAAACAAGAATGAAGTTCCAACTGCATATTTCTGGTCACAAAAACTCTATAAAACCTCTAAATAAAGACCAAAACACTTCTTATATTAAACATTAAAATAAATGTGAGCTATACATACATTTAAGAAAGATTACTAAAAACAAGATAATTATTTACCCAATTATTCCAGGTCAGGGTGGCAGGTGGGTGGAGTCTATCCTGGCAGATCAGGGCAGAAGGCTGGAACCAACCCTGGACAGGACACGTTTCCATGGCAGGACACCGAGTGTGTTACACGTGGGGCCATGCAGATGCAGCATTGCACCCACGTGTATGCCTTTAGGATGTGGGAGGCAGCCTGAGTACTCAGGGAAAACCCACACAGACGTGGGGAGAATGTATTAATACGAACTCCACATGGACAGTGGCCCCAGCTGGGAATTGATCTTTTTTCCCTCATCAACGTTATAATGAAATGATGTTGAATGAAATGACATTATTCAAGGACCAGCTGTACTTATTATGGGTTCCAAAATGTATGTGCTGGAAACTTAATCCCCAGTACAACAGTGCTGGGAGGTGGGGCCGGGAGGGTTTAGGTCAGGAAAGCTCCACCCTCATGAATGGATTCATACCACTGTCAAAAGGGCTTGTGAGAGTGGGTTCCCTCTCTCTTGCCCTTCTGCCTCCTGCCACTCAAGGACACAGGAAGAAGGCCTCACCAGATGCTGCCACCTTGATCTTGCACTTCCCAGCCTCCAGAACTGTGAGAGGATAAATTTCTTCATAAATTACCCAGTTTTAGGTATTCTGTTATAGCAGCACAAAATGGACTAAGACAGCACTCTACCTCTGTATGCCTGTAGCAAATCCAACGGGTGACCCTGAAAAATTATTTAAGCTCTCTGAGCCTTGGCTTCCTCAACTGCAAGGCAGAATGACAATATAGAAAATGATGTACATAAAGCTCATATAGTAAACACAATTGGCTATATATTATCAGCTAACATTATTACCTAGTAGGAAGGCAGTTGATTAAGAATTGCATTGAATGATAATCAGTGATTAGGAAGCATTTGTGAACTCAGTTTCTAGAAATAATTTCACTACTAGAGAAAAATAGTCAGCATGTGGATATTTTCATATTTATCCTGGGAACTATTTTATGAAAGAGTTGCTGTGTATGGCCCCAAGAAGTCAGTTCCTGGCCACTGAGAAATTAGTGGTGGGCAGATATGGGTTCCATACAGGAAGAACTTTCTAACACACCAAATGTGGAGAGGATCTAATAAGTTCTTCATCTCCAAGGGCATTCAAGGAGGCTGAACCACCACCTTGTCAAGATGCAGAGGAAATTTATGTATTAGGCAGATGGCATTCAACTCCCTTCCATCCCCGAGAGTCTATAGATTCAGTGCAGTTTCAGTGCTTCTATTCTGTAGCTATGATGTCTAATTTTGTTCCTTCCATGGCCCTCCACCAAATCAGTCCTTCTGTCTTCCCTCTTTTCCTGCTCAACCATTTTGCTATAGCCAAGTGTACTTATAGTCTCGGGAAGCTTTACAGCATCTAGAGCTCTTTTTTCTATTGTATCCTCTGTTGCCTTAAGTAGTCCACCTTCTCCCATTCTCCAGTACCTTCTATTTTTACTCCTTCACTCTGATTAGCTACATGTGGACTCATCAGGAAACTTATGCTGATTCAGTGACTGGAGGAGGGAGGGACTAGAGCAGAAAGGTGCAGGGCACAGATTTGGAACCAAATAGCTCTACCGCCTACTATTAATAGGTGTGACCATGGGCAACTTATGCAATCTCCCTAGCCCTCGGCATTTTATCTGAAAAATCTAGATTGTAGTAGTACCTACTTCATAGAGTTATTCTGAGATTTAAATAATGTAGTGCAAGTAAGGTGCTTAGCATAGTATCTGGCACATGGGTAGTCCTCCATGAAAGTAAGCAATTATTATTATTGCTGTCCACCAAAGGACATTTGCTGATGGGATCCATTCCTGCCTTTCCTTCAGCTTCCAAAAGGGGTGTGTGAGAGAGAGAGAGAGAGAGAGAGAGACAGACAGACAGACAGAGAAAGGGAGAGAGAAAGAGAGAAAGCTTTCTGAAAGAAGTGTATGCCTTTTTGTTTGTATTTAACAGTATTTTAAAGATTTCCCTCCACATTCATTCCACAATGCTATGTAGTAAGAAATATAAAAAGAAATTTAACAAATTGTTCCTCCCTGCAGAAAGTTTAAAAACATGAGAAATAAATAGAAACCTAAAACCATTCTGCCATTGCTATCTTAAGGATTCCACTAAGTGGTAAATATTAAATATGTGTAGGTACATATTTCATATTGAATAATAATGTTTAGCATATTATGGGCACTAAAAATAAATCAATCTGTGAGCAAATCAAATGCCCACTATAGTTAACAGCGCCCCCTCACAAAAACACCGCGTTACACTAGAGGCCTCCAGACTCCATTTCCCACCCTCAATCATTGCACACTGCATTTCCCTTCCCTCTGCCACCTGCTAGACACTCATTCCATGATGGTTCCAGGGCACCGAGAGACTCAAAGAGTTAAGAGCCAAAGAAATGATTCATAGAGGCCCCCAGATTGGCTTCTACTCTCCCCCTTCCACAGCAGCCGTCACAATCTCCTTTGTCAAGTGGAGAGTGATAACTGTCACTCTCTTGTTAGACAATGTTTAAGGAAGGGTTAAATATTTTTTTTTTTAATTAAGGACTTATGTCACTCTCTTGTTAGACAATGTTTAAGGAAGGGTTAAATATTTTTTTTTTAATTAAGGACTTATGAGCACTGCTTTAGCTGGTTCAGTTTATTTGCATGCTTATAAGAGACCTGGGTTAGGAAAGAAAACCCAACATTCCCTTAAGGGAAAAGCTCTATCTCCTGTTTCACCATGACAGTTCTGCTCACATGTAAATTTTGAGTACAGTACTTCATTTTTTAAATCAGCTTACCATCTACGAATTCAAGTTCTCTGTCCCTGTGAAGTATTGGTCAAACTGAACTGGGTTTTCTTCCCAAATTAGTTGAGGATAGAGGCCCCAGATTAGCTCTGTGCGGTCAGCTGCTATCCTATGCCTAACTACATCGCAATCGATGGATCAGGTGTTTGTCCACAGCCATGAACTTCATTTTCCCTCACTCCTTTGCGTTTACGCCTACTGCCTCTCAACATTCCAGCTCCCCTCTCCTAGCAGTGGCATACTAGTGCCAGCTTATACTAGCTTGTGAGAGAAGATTGTTAAATTTTCAGAAATTTTGTGAGCCGACTGTTAAACAGAGCCAGTATGAAAGCTAAATTGTGTAAACTTACAATTAAGTAAATTATATTAGAAACAAAGAGGAGAAAAACTGAATAACTCCTCACTTCCTAATCATTTTACTGCATTTTACAATTGCCTTTGTTCTCAAGGCTGGTTATTACAGACATTAGTCTATTACACCTGCACAGTGGGCACACTGCACAAAGCTGTGCTATACACACCCCTTCCTAACTCCACATTCAGTGGTGTTTGTTTGGTATTTTGAAATCAAGTCATAGTGACAGTGTTTACAAAAGGGATATCAGCAAATTCTACACATCAGAGCTTGATTTACTGTTTTGTTAATTTGCCTGGGGCTGTCTGCAAACTCTAGCCTGGGGCCTATTTTGGTATGGCCCTTGAAAAAAACTAAAAATATTTTATATTTTAAAGGGTTATAAAACATATTCGGAACCTTACTTTGGTAGAGACAATAATATTGTGTTGAGTTCGTTTAGAAGTCAAACAATGATTTTTCTACAGCTTCGAGCCAAAATGTGAGCCTGCAGCTGGGCTCTTCTTGCCTCTTCTACCTGTGAGCCTCTTCTACCTGCTGGCCAGTCGTGATGATGGGGATGTGATGTGATGGAGCCCCAGGCAAAGGGCATCCAGTGGTCTCATCACCAAGGGCACACCAGCGGCACGGAACCCATAACAACAAAAATACATTTTGATTAGCAGAAGCATTCAATAAGTAAAAGATACACTGACTGAAACCATCTTTGCATCACAACGTTAAATGGATAACTGACAATTATCCTGGTAATTAGATCAATGTAAGCAGACCACTCTTTCTCCCCCTGCCCCGCCCATGAAACATCTCCATCAAGGAGCCCAGTGATCTACATTGCCAAAATTAACTGGGTGATTATGAAAGCTAACTGTGTCCCTTTATTTTTTTAAGGGTGATAATTCATCTCTGTATCATTCTGAAACCCATAAATGCTTGAGAGTTCTTGAAAGGGCTGTCCTCATTTATAGCCAACCTAGTAAGTACCAACTGAATGCTTGAGATGTTTACTAAGAAGGCCATAGTTAAATTTCAAAGCTGAAAACCAGCAGAAGCAAAACATTTTGGTTATTCTCACTCCCCTTCCTTTCCATGCATGCCTGGTTTCCGCTAATGCATGGCACCCAGGCTAACTCAGGCCTCTGTAGCGTTTCCTCCTCCCAACCATCACCCAGCCCTACCCATTTTCCACACTGCCCCCAGAATTGTCTTTCTGAAACTTAGACTTCACTTCCTTCTTTAAAGACCTTTCATTGTTCTCCATTGCCTGGAGAATAAATCCCAAATTCCCAAAGTACAAGCCAGGTTCCAGAACCCTCCTAACCACCTAGCACCAGTCTATCTTTCCAGAGTTAGTTATATCCTTAAGGGACAGGAAGCTTGTAAATCCGTGGTTCCCAAATTTTAATGTATGTGATAATTATCTAGGAGCTTTAAAAAAGCTTGATGCCCAGGTCACATCCCACATCAATTAAATCAGAATGTCTGAGGTGAAGCCAGGGCCTGCCACCTTAGGCTAATACCAAAACCCAGAACGTAGCCCAGGGGGTCCACCTTGTTAGCCCTACTTGAGGAAGATCTTTCAGCAGTGGGTGGAGGGACAGAGCGCAGGAGAGCCCTGCAAGGGGTAAACTAGCCCTTCCATGGACTGACACAGTCTTGCCGTCCTGCCTCAGAGGGGCAAGTGTGAGTCAGTTTTCTTGGGAAGGAAACTCCAAGGAGGAGAATAAGACAAGGTTGAGCAGGTGAAAGCCACTCGTGGTTCAAGCATGTGATGTTCACACAGTGAATACTTGGGCCAAGAACTGCTAGTTCCGAGGGGGAAAGGGTCGGTCTGATTCCCCGGGAGCCTGGCGAAGGTCTTAGTCTGACTTGCTCCAAGGCCAGTGGGAACCAAAGTGGCTTTAGGGTGACGCCGACAGCACTACTCAGACAAGGCTCTAGCTCTTCTATAAGGCCCAAAGCCCAAACCACCCAAGAAAAGTCTTGCATCCAAGAATAACCAGGACCAGCTTCTAACTCTTAGGACCCTGTGCTCTGGTCCGGCCGGAGGCAGAAGGCCGCGCCTCCCTGTCGTTTCCCTGGCGAGTCGCCTGACACGGCTGAAGCTCTCTCTGGCCTCTGCTGGGCTCCACAGCGTCCCCAGCTTTCGCAGGCGCTCGCCTCACTCGTGGTCGCCTGTTTACGTCTGGATGTCCCGGAACGACTGCAAGCTCCCGGAGGGAGGGGGCGCCGAGGAAGCGCTTCCGGCTGGCGGCTGCCAGCGGGCCAGCGACACGGACGGACGCCGCGCGTCGTTCCCGGGCAGTCGCGAGCCGGGAGTCGCTGCCTCATCGTAGAAACTCTCCCAGTACAGACCAAACACGGCTTATTTGGGTTAAAAAAAAAAGGATGCCTGCTTTTCTGACGGTTTCTTGTTTTCTTATAAAGTCCATGTACTTTCTGATAAGAGTGAACAGAGCCAAATGACGGCCAGCCCGGCGGGTCAGCAAGTTCGCGCACCCGGAGGCGCTCGGAGGGCCTGGAGGGCGGGTTGGCAAGTACGCGCACGCGCACCCGGAGGCGCTCGGAGGGCATAGCCGGCGGGTTGGCAAGTACGCGCACGCGCACCCGGAGGCGCTCGGAGGGCATGGCTGTCGGGTTGGCAAGTACGCGCACGCGCACCCGAGGCGCTCGGAGGGCATGGCCGGCGGGTTGGCAAGTACGCGCACGCGCACCCGAGGCGCTCGGAGGGCCTAGCCAGAGGGCCTGGTCGGAAGGTCCCGCTCCCTGGAGTCCCAGCGCAGCTGCGAAGGCAGAGCCCTGGGAAAGGCCTGTTTTTCACCCAAAGGAAAAGTGCAAAACACCCTGCCCTTTAATCTTCAAATTACCTCAGGGAAACCAGAAACAATGCTGTCATCAGGCATTATCCACAGAGAAAACAGAGCCTTCTTGGATGCTCAGACTCTGCTTTTAAAGCCTCATATTTTATGATTACATCAAAACACTTAAAGTGCTTCAAAGAGCTCTTTCAGCAATACTCACAACAGTCACAAAAATAAATGTTATTATCCCCTTATTACAGATAGGGAAAACTGGTCTGGATTCTGCGGGATTTCTCCCATAACCACAGAAATGGGTGAGAAGCTGCAGATGCCACCCCACAACTTACAAGGCCAGTGCCACTGCCAACCTGCCTTACCCCTAAAGGCAGGTACTGTGGTCCTGAAAACACCCACTATTTCTTTACTGATACCAGAATGTAGACCCATATTTGTAATTTTTTTTTTTGAGACAAGGTCTCCGTCTATCGCCCAATGGCATGATGACCATAGCTCACTGTGACCTCAACTTCCCTGCTTCAAGAGATCCTCCTGCTTAGGCCTCCCACAATGCTGGGATTATAGGCGTGAGCCACCATACCAGGCCAATATTTGTATTTTTTATGTAGTGCTTGCTGTTCAAAGATTCTCAAGGACCCCAGGTATAATATGGGGTCTGAAATGCTGATAATGTTAAAAATTAAAAATCACAATCATTAGACTTTACATTAGCATGTTTTGTTACTATACACAAAGCACCTTTATAAATGATAAATACTCACTTTTTGTTCTGGAAGTCAGTGTGGCTCTCTTGTCCGGGATATAAATCTTGCTATTATCAGGAGGAACAGTCAATGACTAAACATTCACAGAGGCCTGTCTTTGTACCGGGCACTTTATGTTCTAAACACTTCATAGGCATTATATTATCTAGTTCTCATAAAAACTTAAAAGGTTGGTTTCAGCCAGGCGCCATGGCTCACGCCTATAAGCCTAGCACTCTGGGAGGCCGAGGCGGGCAGATTGCTTGAGGTCAGGAGTTCGAAACCAGCCTGAGCAAGAGCGAGACCCCATCTCTACTATAAATAGAAAGAAATTAATTGGCCAACTAATATATATATATATATAAAAAATTAGCTGGGCATGGTGGCACATGCCTGTAGTCCCAGCTACTCGGGAGGCTGAGGCAGTAGGATTGCTTGAGCCCAGGAGTCTGAGGTTGCTGTGAGCTAGGCTGATGCCAAGACACTCACTCTAGCATGGGCAACAAAGTGAGATTCTGTCTCCAAAAAACAAAAACCAAAAAAGGTTGGTTTGTTATTGTCTCATTTTTTAGATGAAGAAACTAAGGCCCAAGGTTATATAGCTTGGAGGAGATGCAACCAAGGTTCAGATTCAGGTAGCTTTGCCTGCAGAGCTCCTGCTCCCAAGCATTATGCTACATTGTCTCCAAAAAGAAAGACATTATGCCACTATGACTAGATTAAACTCTCTGCAGTTTAAGGAGATTGACGAAATCCCAAATACCAGAAAAATCAGTCAGCTAAAGTTAGTAACTCAGAAATATTTCTGGTCACATAGGTGTCCCAAGCACAAGGCCAAAAATAATAGCGACTTAAATGACACTGGAGTAGAAATACAGGTCAAATCCAATTACACTGGATCTCAAGGGAGCATCCAACTCCTATTGTGTCCTGGAACTGTTTTATACTAGACATTGCTTTCCCCCATGACTACAGGACTGGCTGGTCCTCTTTCTTTTCCTCTAAATTCTGGTACTTGCCTATACCTCATGCTTTAACACTTGATTATGTGTTATCTTTTATTGTTCACTATTTTTTCACGTATGCCAGTCTTTGTCTCTTCAACTGGATTTTACATTGCTTAAGAATAGAAACTGGGTTTTCACAGTGGCGTGAGGTCTGGCCTGCTGGCAGAGGCCCAGGAGTAGTAGCCACAGAGTTGGGGAGGGTGGAAAGAAGTGAGGCCCAGCTCCAGACTGCGGGTCTTAGCCCCACCCCTACACATAGACTTTCTGGCTGAGCGGGGCCATTCCAGCCCCTCCTTGGCAGCTTTTCCTGGAAGCAGAAACAGAACTTTGACCCCTGCTAACGACATTGGTGGTGCCTGAGGGCAGGCTTACCCAACCCAGCTCCAACAAGACTGACTCCCAGACCAGCCCCCACTAAGAGGGAAAAAAAGACACAACTGGAAGTCCCAGGGCCCCACCGACCACCTGAGGCACTAGAGTGCCTCTCTACAGGAACAAGAGCTTGTCACAGTTCACAAAAACAACAGCATAGCCCTGTTCCTCTAAGCAAGCGCCACCTACTGACAAGGAGGACATCCTGCACACCCTTTTCACGGCACCTACTGACTCATCACACAGGGTGTGGTTGAATCTCACCCACAGACACCACCTACCAGATCAGAAACTAAACAAGATGTGGGAATACCCAAACAAAAACCTAAAGGAAAGAAGCAACAACTGAGCGACATGGGAAGAATTCAGCGAAGGAATTCCGGAAATATGAAGAACCAAATGGAAACCACACCCCCAAAGAGGAGCACCAGCCCCTTAGAAATGGACACCAACCATAATCAGGCAACCAAAATGACAAAAGAGGAATTCTGAATGTAGATTATAAGAAAATTCAACGACCTGCAGAACAACTCAATAACCAACACAAAGAAACCACAAAAAGGCTCCAGGACTTGGAACAAAAATTCACTAAATTAAAATAATAAAGAAAAATTAAACTGAACTCCTGGAAATAAAGAATCATTTCAGGGAACTACAAAACACAGTAGAAAGCCTCAATAACAGGGTAGAGGAAACAGAAGAAAGAATCTCAGAGATTGAAGATAACACCTTCCAATTAAATAAATCAATCACAGAGATAGAGCAGAGAAACAAGAGAAAAGAGCAAAGCCTACAAGAGATGTGGGATTATGTGAAGAAACCTAATGTGAGGGTAGTAGGATTACCAGAAGGGGAAGAAGACAACACTCAAGGGTTGGACAAGCTATTTGAAGATATAATAGAGGAAAATTTCCCAGGTTGCTCAAAATCTCGATATACAAGTTCAAGAAGCTCAGAGGACCCCTGGGATTTCAGTGCAAACAGGAAGACGTCACGGCATGCAGTCATCAGACTGACCAAAATATCAACTAAAGAGGCCCTTCTTAGAGCTGTAAGATGAAAGAAGCAAGTAACATACAAGGGAAAGCCAATTCGAATAACATCAGACTTCTCTACTGAGACTTTACAAGCAAGGAGAGACTGGGCCCATTCTCACTCTTGAAACAAACAATGCCCAGCTAGAATCTTATTCCTGCAAAACTAAGTTTTGTACATGAAGGATAAATCAAGACATTCTCAAAAAAGCAAAGACTGAGGAATTCACCAAGCGAGACCAGCCCTTCAAGAAGTACTCAAAACAGTGTTACCCGTGGATCGGCACAATAAACATTCACAAATGTAAAGCTACTCAAAAGCTAAAGATCAAAGCCCAGACACTACAATGATTCAAGAGAGAAAACAAAGCAACAAAGTTCAACCCAACATAATGAACGAAATCTGCCCACCTATCAGTTATCTCGATAAATGTGAATGGCTTGAACTCCCCACTCAAGAGACATAGGCTGGGTGAATGGATAAAAAAACACAAGCCAAGTATCTGCTGCCTTCAGAAAACACATCTAACCTGCAAGGATGCAATTAGACTAAAGGGGTAGAGAACGACATTTCAAGCAAATGGAAGCCAAAAGAAAGCTGGCGTGGCAGTGCTGATTATAGATAACTTAGTTTTTAAATCAACAAAAGTAATAAAAACAAGAAGGTCACTATATATGGTGAAGGTACATTCAACAAGAGACAATAACAATTCTAAATAATGCATCACAACCTTGGTGCACCCAGACTCATAAATCAAACTCTACTTGATCTAAACAAATGGATAAACAACAACAGCATAATAGTTGGAGACTTTAACAGCCCACTGACAGCACAGGACACGATCCTCCAAACAGAAAATCAACAAAAAATAATGGACTTAAACAGAACTCTAGAACAAATGGGCCTGACTGACATTTACAGGACATTCTACCCCCAAACCACTGAATATACATTCTTCTCATCAGCTCATGGATCATTCTCTAAAATTGGCCATATCATAGGACACAAAGCACGTCTCAAACAAATTCTAAAATAGAATCGATTATCTTTCAGACCACATGGAATAAATGTAGAAATCAATCCAACAGAGTCCTCATTTCTACACAAATCATGACTAAGCACCTTCTGCTGAATGATCACTTCATAAATGAGGAAATCAATGGAAATCAAAAGACTTTGAACAAACGACAAGGACACAAGTTACCCAAACCTTTGGACACAGCTAAGCATTCTGAGAGGAAAATTTATTTCAATAAATGCCTATATATACAAAGTCCGAAAAGATCACAAATAGACAACCTAATGAATCGTCTCAAAGAGCTGGAAAAACAGACCAACCCCAAACCCAGCAGAAGAAGTGAAATCATTAAGATCAAATCAAAACTAAACGAAATTGACAACAGGGAAACTATATGGAAGATTACTAAAACAAAAAGTTGGTTCTTTGAAAAAAACAAACAAAGTTGAGACACCATTGTGTAGACGAACAAAAAGCAGAAAAGAAAAATCTTTAATAAGCTCCATCAGGAACAATAAAGGAGAAATTACAACGGA